TCAATTGTGCTTCCGTTCAGTTACGTATTGCTGGTTCACTGTGCAACACAAGAGAGCTCAACTGCTGATGACCAAGACGATAACAAACCAGTCTTACATCTGGCCACACACCCCCCACTGCCCCACAGCCTGACGTGCTGGCCACACCCCTTACCCGCCTGGCCATGACGTGCTGGCCACCCTCTCTTACTGCTGCCTTGTCATGACGTGCTGGCCACCGCCCCTCTTACCCCTTGGCCCATGACGTGCTGGCCACCTCCTCTCTTACCTGCCTGGTCATGACGTGCTGGCCACACCCTCTCTTACCCCTTGGGCTGCGTGCTGGCCACCCTCTCTTACCTGTCTTGTGTCGCGGAGTGTGGCCACACCCCCTTCTTACCTCCCCAGGCCGCGGCTTGCTGTCCAAACCTCCTCCCCGGCCCATGACTTGCTGGCCACACCTCTGGGCCCATATTTGTTGTTTAGGCCCAAGACTTGCTGGCACACACACCTCCCCCCCTAGGCCCTGACTTTCTGTCCCACCCTGTAGTTTTCATTGATTCTTACCTTACAGTTGTATGGTCGTTTACCTGAATACGCGAGAGATAACACGTGATAAAGCTGCGGTAGACACGTGATAAAGCTGCGGTAGTGACACGGATAAAGCTGCGGTAGTGACACGTGATAAAAGCTGCGGTAGTGACGCGTGATAAAGCTGCGGTGGTGACACGTGATGGAAAGCTGCTGTAGTGACACGTGGTAGCTGCGGTAGTGACGACTGATTGGCGTGTGTGAGGCGGTACCGTGAGACTCCATGGCCTAGCAGGTCGGGTGCACGTAGAATTCTTCTTCAGATTGTCAGGTCAGTTAGGGATGGCCCTGGGTATAAATGATTAGGGTCTCATCGTTGAGGCCCATCTTAGTTCACCTGATTATTAACCTTCTTCCCAACCCGATGGAACGACCCACCACCACGAAGTGGTTCTTGCCTTTCCCCCCTTCTTCCTCTCCTCCCTTCCTTCCCTCTCCCCTCCCTTCTTCCTCCCCTCCTTCCTTCCTCTCCCCTCCTTCCTTTCCTCCCCTCCCTCACGTTTGTGGTGTTGGGCCAGACTCGTGGTAGGTGCCAAACAGGTGTTGAGTTATCATGGCTCTAATCCTGTAACATCTGTGTCTCCTACAGGTGTTTTGATGGATGAGAACCAGGTGCACATGTTGTGACAGGTGTAGTACCCCCCCAGCAGCTCACACACCTGGGGCCTGGGGCAGGGTGTAGGGATCCTTAATACCTGTTAGCGCTACAATGGGGCCTGGGGCAGGTGTAGGATCCCTCACACCTTTATCACCTTGCTGGGTTTGTAACGGTGTTGCAGGTGGTGTGAACGTGTAGCCGTTTTGACACCTTTGTGAATATGTTGAGCAGTGTGCAACTTGCTGAGCTGACGTGCAACCTGGAAATAAAAAGAATTATGATCACCACCACTACCACCACTACTACCACCACCACCACTACCACCACTACCACCACCACTATAACTACCAGCCACTCAGTCATTATCAGCCACTACGCTTATACTACCAACAACTATTTCTTGTGTAATAATAATGAACGGTTTTTAATAGAGTTGCAGCCGGTAGCTCAAAATATACAGACTTATGTGATTTAAGCATAATGATATCGTTTCATACATTTACAGGGCTGTACAGTGTGTGTGTGTTGTTCTGTCGTCACTCGGTCAGGACGGGTCATTACTATAAATGGAAGGGGTGACTATTGAGAGAGTGAGGGAGTTTGTGTTGTGAGAAGGATGTGGGAATGAAAAGAAAAACAAACGAACAGGAGAGGTAAATTATCAAATAACCATAAAAGAAAGGGGGGTGAGGGTGGTAACCATGGTAACGTGGCGATGCTGGAGGCGGGCAGAGCGTCATGGTAACCATGTCAACGGTCTGGCGCCTGACACCTCCCTGCCTGCCTGCCGCCGCTACTTGGGAGTAAACAACTCCAGGCTGCTGGTTGTGACGCCATCACCTCTCCCCACCCAACACCGAGCCACACTACACCTCCTCGTTATACATGGACACAATTATCCTCTAATCGTGTTTTTATCGTTGTAAATATTGAGGGATTGAGACTTGGGCCATATTGGTGTTGCAGTTTGAGATAAGTGCGTTGTATCGCTTTAGATATCAACAAGTGAGGTGGTGTGTGTGTGTGTCTCTCTCTACACACACACTACACACTTGCCACCACGTATTGCTGTATCATTCTAAACAATATTATCTTCCTTTCCAGTTGCTATCTTTGCTCTGACCGCAGATAATGTTGGGAATAATAACAGTGTACAACCGTGTGACTTTGAATAATAACTGCCGCTGTGACCTGAAGAATTATTACAGTTAAGGGCGGATAACATGAGCAAATCTGGCTGAGACTCTTTCCGTAGAGCGACACTGAAGTGGATTACGTGGTGTTGCTCCGTGTCCCTTGTGAGGGGGCTGTGTGTGGTGCAGGGGTGGTGATAGTCACACACCCACCACCACCATCATCATCACTACACCGAAAACAAGGATGTGTGTGTAGCCTGAGAGATCATGGCCACACACCACTACCACTACTACCACAATCTACCAGTACTACAACTACTGAAGTACTACCCACCACCATGATTGTGATCAAGAAAAGCCCGTCATGTCGGTGTCGTCCATTATCACAGGTCCCAACAACGATCTTGGACCCCAGGTTGGTACAGCTCCCTACACTACAATACCTACCTCCTCCTACCACCTCTACCTCCTCTACGACCTCCTACACCTCCTCCTACACTCCTCCTACCACCTCCCTACCACCTCCCTACCTCCTTGCACTCATCCATCTTCCTTCTTTCCTCTTTCTCCTTCCTTTACCATCTTCTTTTATGCTTTCCCTTTTCTCTCTCTTCCTTCTTCCTTCCTTCTCCTTATCTCCTTCTTCCTCTATCCTCCTCCTCTCCTTATCACCATCTTCCTTCTTCTCCTTCCTCTTCTTCCTTTCCCTCCACTCCTCTCCCGCCACCTCCCTCTCCCCGCCACACTCCTCTCCTGCACTCCCCTCCCTCCCCTCTCTCCCTCCCTCCCCTCCTCCACTCCCCTCCCCTCCTCCCCTCCCTCCCTCCTCTCCCTCCCACCTCCCCTCCCTCCCCCTCCCCTCCCCTCCCCCTCCTCTCCCCTCCCCTCTCTCCCTCCCCTCCCTCCCTCCCTCCCCTCCCTCCCTCCCTCTCCCCTCCCTCTCCCCTCCCCCTCCTCTCCCTCCCCTCCCCTCCCCTCCCCTCCCCTCCCTCCCCCCTCCCTCTCCCCTCCCTCCCCCTCCCTCCCCTCTCCCCTCCACTCCCCTCCCTCCCACACTCCCCTCCCTCCCCTCCCCTCCCCTCCCTCCCTCTCCCCACCTCCCTCTCCCTCCCCCTCCCTCTCCCTCCCCTCCCTCTCCCTCCCCTCCCCTCCCTCCCCACTCCCCTCCCTCCCCTCCCCTCCCTCCCTCCTCTCCCTCCCCTCTCCTCCCTCCTCTCCCTCCCACCTCCCCTCTCCCTCCCCCTCCCCTCTCCCTCCCCTCCCTCCCACCTCCCCTCTCCCCTTTCCCTCTCCCTCCCCTCCCTCTCCCCTCCCCCTCCCCTCCCTCCCCCCTCCCCTCCCCTCCCCTCCCCTCCCCTCCCCCTCCTCTCCTCCACTCTCCCTCCCTCCCTCTCCTCCACCTCCTCTCCCTCCCCTCCTCTCCCTCCCCTCCCCTCCCTCCCCTCCCCTCCCCTCCCACCTCCTCTCCCTCCCCTCCCTCTCCCTCCCCTCCTCTCCCTCCCCTCCCCTCCTCCCCTCCCTCCCTCCCTCCCTCCCTCCCCACTCCTCTCCACACTCCTCTCCCTCCCCTCCCTCTCCCTCCCACTCTCTCCCTCCCTCCCCTCCCTCCACCTCCCTCCCTCCCACCTCCTCTCCCCTCCCTCTCCCTCCCCTCCCTCTCCCCTCCCCTCCCCTCCCTCCCTCCCTCTCCCTCCCACCCCTCCCTCTCCCTCCCCTCCCTCTCCCCTCCTCTCCCTCCCTCTCCTCCCACCCCTCCCCTCTCCCACCCCCTCCTCTCCCTCCCCCTCCTCTCCCTCCCCCTCCCCTCCTCCACCTCCTCTCCCCTCACACTCCTCTCCCTCCCTCCTCTCCTCCACCTCAACATCTTGTACTCTGAGATATTTAACAGTTAGTTTTATCCAGATCAGGTACCAGGTCACTCTGGTGAGGACCAGGTCACTCACAGGTAAGGACCAGGTCACTCACAGGTAAGGACCAGGTCACTCTGGAAGTGAGGACCAGGTCACTCTGGTAAGGACCAGGTCACTCTTGAGTGGGACAGGTCCTCACGAGGTGGGACCAGGTCACACAGGTAAGGACCAGGTCACACAGAGTAGGACCAGGTCACTCTCAGGGGATGGGTCACTCTGGGTGACCAGGTCACACAGGTAAGGACCAGGTCACTCACAGGTAAGGACCAGGTCTACACACAGGTAGGACCAGGTCACACACAGGTGGACCAGGTCACTCACAGGTTGGGACCAGGTCATCTCCACAGGTAGGACCAGGTCACTCCTGGAAGGGGAGGTCCCTGAGTGGGACCAGGTCTCACACAGGTAGGACCAGGTCTCACTCACAGGTAAGGACCAGGTCACTCTGGGACAGGTCACTCACAGGATGAGCCAGGTCCACACACAGGTGAGACTAGGTCACTCACTGAGAGACCAGGTCACTCACAGGTAAGGACCAGGTCACACACCTTTATGTTTTTGTCTTAGTTGTTTGATGTTTTTTATCCAGGTGTGCTGACTCTCCTCCTCTTCTTCCTCCTCTTCTTCCTCCTCTTCTTCACCTCGTCTTCTTCCTCCTCTTCTTCCTCCTCTTCTTCCTCCTCTTCTTCTTCCTCTTCTTCCTCGTCTTCTTCACTTCCTCTTCCTCCTCTTCCTTCTCCTTCTGCTCCTCCTCTTCACCTCCTCCTCTTCCTTCTCTCTTTTCCACCTCTCTTCCTGCTCCTCTTTTCCACCTCCTCTTCCTTCTCACCTCCTCCTCTTCCTTCTCCTTCTCTACCTCCTCTTCTTCTCCTTCTTCTCCCCCTCCTTCTCCTCTCCTTCTCCTCCTGTCCTTAACCTGCTCTGGTGGTGGGATGCCTTCCACAGGCTGTCCTTCCCAAGTGGAACCTGCTGCATCACACCTCCCTCCTTCCTCTTCCCTCCCCTCCCTCATCTCTCTCCCGTCTCCTTCCTTCTCTCTTCTTCATTATCTCCCTCTCCCTCCTTCTCTCTCTCTCTCTCGCTCCTTTCATCCTTCTCCTTCTCTCCTTCCCTCTCCTCATTATCTCCTCTCTCCTTCTCCATCCATCCTTCCTCCCACCCTCTCTCCCCCTCCCCTCCTCCTTTATCTCCCTGCTCCTTGCATCCTTCTTCCTCTCTCCTTCCCTCCTTCCCCTCCTCCTCACCTGTTGATCAGCTAGAACCATCATGGGTTGCTCTCCTCCTTAAGGCTGACCTGGTACCTGTTGAAGGACTTGGCCTCCTTCACTCCTCGATCTTATCCCCGCGTCTCCCTGGAGTCCAGTGGCAGCTAGGGATGTTGCTAGTCCTTCCTGACGGTATCCCTACGCCCGTATTTGGTGACTGTCTCTCTCCTCACTTTACCTCTCACTCCCTCTCGCTCCCTACCTTTCCTCCCACCTTATCATTTCCCCCCTCTCCCTCCTCCTCACTCCCTCCTCTCCTCCTCTCCCTCCCTCCTTCCTCTCCTTTAACTGGGCTGTTTTCCCTCAATAATTTAGGTGGTAAATGCTGGCGTGGTATGTTGACCTTCTGTCTCTCACCTGTTGTGTCTCACTGTTGCCTCTCACCTGTTGTGTCTCACCTGTTGCCTCTCACCTGTTGTGTCCCACCTGTTGCCTCTCACCTGTGTCTCACCTGTTGCCTCTCCTGTTTTGTCTCGCTGTTTTTCTCACCTGTGTTATGTCTCACCTTTTCTCTCCTGTTACCTCTCCTCACCGCCAGTCTTGTCTCTTCCCCTTTTTCATTTTGCCGACTCTCTCTCTCTCTCTCTCTCTCTCTCTCTCTGTGCGTGCATGTTTGTGTGTGTGTGTGTGTGTGTAAATAATATATGTAAAATAATAAACGGTTTATTAATAGAGTTGCAGCCGGTGGCTGAAAATATTCTGAACTTACATTTGATTTAGACATAATGATATAATATGCACTGAATACATTTTACAGGGCTGTACAGTACATAAGTCAGGAGTTGTTTATTTTTAACAATAGATGGGATGGTGCTGTTCTTATATCTATCGGTGCGGGCTCTTATGGGCTGAATTTTGTTGTTGTAGTGGCGGACTGCGCGGGAGTTGGGTGGGACTGCCGGTGGAGGAGGTGGCGATGACGAGGGTGGTGCAGTAGTCCACTGCCAAAGCCTTTCGGTGCTTGGTGGTGGAAGTCACTGAGGGATGGCATTTCCAGGGTGGAGGGCGTTGGTGTAGCCGGGTATTCTGCGCCGAGCATGATTCTGCAGGCCCTTTTTCTGTACCTTCTCTAGCTGACGTTGTTGGGTAGAGTTGAGAAAAGACGACCACTGGTGACGCATACGTTAGTTTGAGAGAATAAAGGCGTTGTAGATGGTCCTCAGCTCTGGCGTGGGTGTCCCATTGACCCTAGTCGTCGTAGCATGTAGAGACGATACGAGGCTGCCTTGACTGTGTTATTTACATGGGCCTTCCAGTCAAGTTTGTTGTCTATAATTACACAGGGTTTGGCAGACTGCACCAGCTGGAGGATGGGCACCACTGTGACTGCTGGGGCTTGCACTGGAGAGTGGCGGTATTGCTGTGCATGACTTCGGTTTTAGTGTGGTTGATGGTGACCTTGTTCTCCGTAGTCATGCCTGTAGCCTTTCCAGGGTGCCTTGTAGCGATGAGTAGTCTGGTGCGGTGTTGTCCACTAAACCCCCACAGTGCAGTCATCCACGTACTTCCACCTGTGAGGTGTCCGATAGAGCGTCGTTGATCAGGATGAGGAAGCACAGTGGTCCCATCTTGGTCCCTGTGTGTGTGTGTGTGTGTGTGTCTGTGTGTGTGTGTGTGTGTGTGTGTGTGTGTGTGTGTGTGTGTGTGTGTGTGTGTGTGTGTGTGTGTGTCCCACCATTCATCATGTCTGACCTGTTTCTGTGGTGAGTTAAGTCGGTCAACCACGCCTACACTTACACTGGGCAGGCTGTGGGTTGAACAGGGGGAGGCAGGCTGGGGGAGTAGGACAGGGATGAGGCTGGGGGTGGGGTGAAGGACAGACTGAGGTGGGACGGGGACGGGCTGGAGGTGGGACAGGGACAGGCTGGGGGGTGGGACAGGGCAGGCTGTGGGTAGGACAGGGAGCAGGCTGTGGGTAGGACAGGGAGCAGGCGGCTGTGGATGGGACATGGGCAGGCTGTGGTGGGAACATGCAACAGGCTAATTGTGGAACAGAATGAGACGCAGGCTGGGTGCAGGACAGAAAGAATGACAGAAATCAGGTCGACGCAGGCAGGCAGGCAGGAAATAGGTCAGTAAACAGGCACACTTGCACGGGTAGGCAAGCGCAGTGTGTGTGTGTGTGTGTGTGTGTGTGTGTGTGTGTGTGTGTGTGTGTGTGTGTGTGTGTGTGTGTGTGTGTGTGTGTGTGTGTGAGTCAGATCATTGACCTCCACACGTACATTGATTAGTGTTGGGAC